CTTGGCGGAGACCAGTGCGAACGTTGAATGGTTTCGACTTAACGCCTTTAACTCTGACGCAGCACCTGCTCATAATACAGTGCTTGAATAGCCCTTAGCAGCTGGCCATCTATTCCGTATGCTCGAAGGCATAACCACAGACTGTTGCGTGCGATCCGGTCATAGGCTTTTTCTGGGTCAACAAAACACATGTTCACAGGACGGGCGTACTGTGACGATTTCTGAACAGTCTGGCGCAGGGCAAATATATGGTCAGAGGTTCTTCGAGCGGGCCTTAAGTGACACTGCTGTTCTTGCATATTGTATTCAGTTATTCCGCGGAACCACCTTTCTAAAACCTTTGTGTAAACTTTACCAGGGATGCTGAATAAGGTAATTCCTCTATAATTGGAGCAGTCTCTTCTTGAACAGGGGTGCAAAAACTCCCGTTTACGAGTTCATTGGTGTCTTCCCCATATTCATTTCAGTCTGAAAGACACTTCAAGCCAACACACGCGTTGTTCTCCTAATACTTTGAGCACTTCAGTGCGGATTTCATCAATTCCACCCTTTCAAGTCTTTCCACTTTTCAAGCTTTTCACACCTTGTGTTTTCATCTACAGAAATATTAATATCTTTTCCCTGCTGCTCTACAAACGAGTCTTTCTACGGTTGCTCAGAGTTAAGGAGTTCCTCAAAGTGCTTTCTGCATCGCCTTTAGGGCTCTTAAACTGTCCTTCTTTTCACCTCCTAGCTGACGGATGGTCTGCCAGCCAGAATTCTTTGTTCGCCGTATGGAAATTCGACTCCAACACCTCACCGAGCTTCTCCCGGGAACAAGCTTTGGCTTTCCCCACTGCTTTCCTGCCTCCTTGCGCGGCTCGACATATCGCACGCGAGTAGAAGGCTCTTTGTTTCCAAGCCATTTCTTGAAAGCAGCTTTCTCTTTAACTGCCAGTTGTCCTTCTCGTGTCCACCAGGAAGTTCTTTTCTGACCTCCTGGTTGAACGCAGTCCCATTTAAATTAAATGCACTGTATGCGGCGGCAGCCTCGCGTATGCCACTCTTAAAGAGTATCCATTCGTTTTCCACGTCAGTGGTCATCGCTGGGATCTGTTCAAACCGTCGTGCGATGTTGTATGCTAACTTCGCTCACGTGTCGACCGAAAGTACTGCTTCCCGTTTGATTTTCTGGTTGCTTCTGCCACCAAATCTTCGTGTAGTGCTGTGTTTCCTACAGTGTTGGTGATCGGTTGGTACCTCTGCGCCTTAACGCGAACATCGATTACTGAGCGTCTTAAGTCAGACGATACGATAATGAAATCGCGTATCTACTTCATTGCACAGGCTTCCCTGTACCACGTATACAGATGCTCTCTTCGATGCTCGAGGAAGGCGTTCCTAGAGTAGATGGTCCGTTGTTTACTGAAAACCGCAACAAGTTCATGCCGTTATTGTTGAGGTCGCTGGGGCGGCTACGCCGTTCTACTTTTCACCCTCTGCTCCGACATGCGCATTAAAATCGCCCATCGGTATGAGGGTCTCTGTATTAAGCACTTCGGAGCACACCGTACTTCCTCAAGGAAGGTATCATTCTCTCTAAGTTGGACGCATAGACCTGCAACAAGATCAGCGCTGTAGTTTGTTATAGCTTCAGTTGGAGGATTGCCACTCTTCCGCTGACAGGCTTCCATTCAATGATTCTGTCAGCGGTGTTGGGTTCTTCCGGAACATCAGCCCCTCCCTGAGCGCGAGTCCTGATTTCTACACCTCAGTAGAATATCTTCTATCCGCAATAGTGGTTCAGGATTTCAGATCCTTGGCGTTTCGTTGACTAGAGTCCAACTATGATTGGTTGGTGCGTTATGGCCTTATCGACTAATTTGTGGTCTTTTCGTCTAAGTGAAGATATTTTCCAATGCAGCGGGTCCTTAACCTTCATTTATTCCAAGAAATTCATATAAGACTAAGCCGAAAAATTGTGAGACATGGCATGCAGGAAGAACAGGACGAGATCCTCGCTGACCCGAAGCACTAGTGACTTGATATTTGCCCTACAGCAGATTGGCGAGAAAACGTACCAGTCGTCCCAACCGATTTAAGGGCGCCATATATAGGCCTTGAAAAGTCATACGACCGGGTTAATCGTGGACATGCATGCAGGAGTAAACTGTACCGGGCGGTCTTAATTAGCAAATATGGAAGTGAGTCTCTGAACAGAGCTCGCGGTATTCAGATCAGGTTTTATTCCCACAGGCACCTGCGGTCATGAAGCTTTGACATGACTCACTCTCAACCGCGAGCAACTAGTGGCTCAGAAGAATGAGTGGAGTAGCGCGTTTCGACAAAATTCGGAACTCTGTGATTCTAGAATTCATGAAGATCGAGCCGAGCCTGTACTTCTCGAAATTGAGAGGCTGCAGTTGAGATGTTTCGGCCATGTGTTCCGAATGCTGCCAGAAAATAGTCAGATGTGACCGGTCCTTGATTGATTAATTTACAGTAGTTCTGGAGACAGGTCTATGAACAGTTGGTGCCAAAGTGCATCAAGGCTCTCTGTTTCTGATTTCCGAACTTATCACCTGAGATCGATTCCGTGGCTGAAAATCGACGACGGTGGCGACAACTGCTGATCGCAATGCATCTGCCACCCCAAAGAAAATCCGGTCTTGAAAATGGATTACGAGGTTTCAGTCGTGAACAGGTATTATTGGAGTACTTTAGCCAGTACCATCGTCTCAGCCTATCGGAACAAGCTTCTGCACCCCTTTGATGTTGATCAGCACCAGGAGAAAACGAGCTGCGTTCGAGGGAAGAACAGATTTAAGCTGCGGTCCCCTACCACCCTCCAAGCTGCCCCCTGCTTTAGTAAACAGAGCATTGTAGCCCTGTAAAACTTGCTATATTCTTTTCGAAGAACAACGAGGTTTCAAACAAAATTGATGTAAACTAAGTCAGATCATTTTCATCTACGATATTAATTATTGGGAATACTGCAGCCTCTTCAGAATTGCCGGGTGAATTATGTGCATTTGAGCAAACAGCATTTGTTTAATCTGCCTCTGCAAATCTTCTTGACACCCATAAGGGTCAAAATATTGAAAGTTTAAAGCTTGGATCGTCTGTCTGATCGAAAGTAAGTTGAATGACGCTTCTCAGCCAGCATTCTTTGCTATTGTCCTAAAGGTTTGGAATATCTGGAATTTCCCAATGATGACCATTACAACAAGCGGCATAGACTTCTTTTCTTCGCTGAATCACCCTCTTTGACCAAATATAAAATGACTAAGCGGTTCCTACCACAGAAACTTCAGAAAATCGTTAGGAATGCGCAGTGTCCATGTAATCCCGGCCAGCAATTCGCCTATTCGTATGTATTAATAAAGCAGCGCGCCTCTTATGGTTGTTTAAAATCTGCTGAATGGATGCAGAAGTTCTGGACAGATGCTTTTAAAAACAGTTGTTATATGTTACAAGGTTCACTATTTGCCGTTAGTTTTGCATATACCCTGACTCGGCAATCATTCTGATTAGTACTGTGAAATATAATCGACGGAGCTCCCTGACTTCACGTTTCCTTCCGCTCACGATCAAGCCGTATTGAAATGAACGCCTCGGTTAATAAGCGATATTGTTTATGTTATTGTCAGTGGATTTGTTACTCGCAATGGTGCTCATGTGTTTGAAAACTTATTCGTTTAGGTTCCAAGCACTGGCGACGGACGAAGACCATTCGTTCTTTACCGCTCGTGGTTCTGCTCCAAGTAGCCGCGAATCTAGTCAGACGCGTACAGCGGCGCCGGTTTGCGATCTTTCGAGACTGGCCATTTCTAGGTCAACCCTTTCGACCCCGGTTTCAAGTCAGCCTCAGTCTAGAGAACCTTCTCCTCATCCCGGCCGTGTATCGATGAGCAAAGCTGAGATGAGCGACGATGCGCTACAGGCGTACGCTGGACAGCTGATCGACAAACTGCTCGAGTCGGATGAGTTCGATGAGGCGACTGAACTGGTGTCCAAGCATATGGACCGTGCCCAGCGACTCATCTATCATTTCTTGGTTCACGCCCTCGACCGAAAGTTAGACAGCCGACAGGTGCTCGGCAAACTGCTGGCCCACCTTTTGACCAAGCGGATATACAGCCGTGATATTGTCGTTGCCGGGTACGCGGGTTTACTTTCCGGTTTTATGTTTCCGAGCCTACGCATTATTTATGTTGTATTTTTTCATACAGGCCTCTTGACTATTCGCTTCTCTTACATCGTTTTCTTTTTTGTTTTAGTTTCACTAGTTTTTTCAATGACGCATACGCGTACTCTTTCGAAACGGATTGGCCGGATCTGTTCTTGTACGTTGGCGAGGTGTTCTCGTCACTGCTGAGCCACAACGTCTCACCTCCAATCACATTTCACACCCTTTCCTCAGCCATCAAGCTTCCAAAGGACAAACGGAAATGTCTGGTGCATATGTTAAAAACGATGGTATGTATACGGCGAAGGTGACATCCTCATTGAGTTTCCGTCTTAATTCGCAACTGAACTTTCATCTACATAAGTGCTGTCCAAAGTTGAACTGCATTGGTACTCAATTCTTAAACACAAAAGTTCATTTATCGCACACAACGCGATATAGTGGTTTGTTTGGCTCTCGATAGAGTTATAGCGACATTTCGGCCGTATCTCGCGGCCCTTTTTCCAGGTAAAGGAGGTGACAGTTGTCCGTTTCTGTCGAAGTGGCGTGTAGCAGTTGGTTCGTTCAGAACAGGAGTCGAGATTTCGTTCTGTACTGGTCCAGTAATGGTTGCAGACAAGCGAGAATGCGAACAACATTCGAATAACATCAGAGCTTTTACCATGAAGATCGCCGTGACATTTGCGCAGAAACGTCCGTACCGATCGATCACACATTTAAGTACCATACTGCGTTGTACTCTGCCCATTTCTTAAACTGTTTTTTAAGTAGTTGTAGAATTCGATAGGAATTCGCTTTGTGTTTTATTAATTTGATGCACTACGTGAGTCGAAGGATTATTTTGAACACGAGCTGATTTTCCGTATATCTGCACAGAAAAACGTAGCGAAGTATGCTATATGACTGTGGCCTGTGAGCCCAATTTTGAATATAAAGTCGTTTTATCTTTAAACTTTCTCGAAACCTGAATCAAATGAGCACTTCTTGCATTATTGCAATTCTTCAGCTTTGATTGAACATGTGCAATGATAAATCGTACAATAAAGCCTCTATTGGCACTGATTTTGATGGCTGTTTTTATAAACTTAATTTTAAGTAGCTTTGTCATGTTTTTACAATAACTCAAAACGTTTAGGCCATGTACTCCGACGAAGCGTCCTCTGGCGAGATGTTGAAAGATTGCCTTGACAATTTCGACCAGCTTGGCCTGGATATCGATTCGTCAGAAATCGTCAAACTTTTGTCAGAATTCGTATGTACTTTTGTACATCAGCGTGTTCATTGTTCTGTTTCTATTGTTTATTGTTGGTGTTTAGTTAACTTTCGCCACATTTACTTTATTGCTCTTATTTTTAGCCTTTTGGGACTTCATCTTCAATCACGAATAGCACTTCCGGTGACTGCGCCGCGTCTACATTTGACGCGTTGTTGCAGTTTGTCCAGTCTTCTTCTTGCAGTAATCCGGATGTGCTAATCGACTTTATTAACGTAAGTTGCGTTGACGTGTATACATATATATATATATATACATAGTTTTCTGTACATTTAGTGTACTGTATTTATTTGTACCTTATATATCTTGGTCAGAGTATGCTGATGAATGCATAAGTTCTCGGAACCTGTATTATTTTTGATAGATATTCACTGCTGAAACGCTGTTAGCGGCAATCTGTTTAATGCATTTGTCAGTAAAATGGCGTGAG